TTATGCAAATCTTCCCACATCGTGACGTAGACATGTGGGGGCGTGTTAGAACGAGCCGTTTTAGGTAGGCGTGGTTGACTCTTAACTTTTATAAAGAATATCTCTTTGGATTTGAGACTTTAGTCTTTGTAACTTTACAGATATTCTTTATGCACCAAGAGCTTGTAACACTCCAAAGAGAAAGGAAATTTGAAATCGCATCAACCCCTTTAAATAGCGCAAAATTTTTCACAGATATCACAGATATTAGTACTTAATGTGGTTTTTAGCACTTCCTCTCCACCGACTAAATTTCCCTCCTTCCATACTTCTCTAGTCTACTTTTTTGAACATTCTATTGTGAGGTCCTTCAAGCAGCGTCATCATCACATTTTAGGGCTGCTGCAGTTATGAAATGGAATTTTATAGAATGAATAACAACGAGTATGTATTTCAACTGCTGGTGTGCCACCCGTCTCTACATGACGCACATCCTCTCTGCAAACGTCGTCATCATGATTATCATTATCCAGGCAATGTGTGATTCATAGCAGGCAGAACTATGTGGTGATCAAGACTAATTATTCTCATCTTTGCCATTGAAAAATAAGAAAATGCTGGTTCAGACCAGGCCGTTCAACATGCTCGGAAATCACATCAGGGTCACAAGGCTTTCTCAAAAGAAAAAGCCATTATGTGCATGGGAATAATGAAATAGAAGTCTTGAACTTGAAGCTTTTAATGTGCGGTTTCAGATTTTTTTCCTGGAATTATTAAGGTTATGATGGCTCATTTTCCACCCACAGAGCCTCAGGCAGCTGAGGGGAAGTGCTCAGCAGTGTGCTTCATCACACAATAATACAACGTTAATGACGCAGAATGGTGTCTTTCTTTGGCCCTGAAAGACGTCAAGGAAGGATGTTTAAGGAACGGTGGTCCTAATTACGTTTTTTATTCCCAACTCTGACGTGATTGATGGTTTCAAAGGAGATGCATTATTGATCCACTTCACAGACAAGTTGTATTGATTGCGAAATCCTGAAAGAGTATGACTTTTCCTCCTCTTCTTACTTTCTTTCTCCCGCTACAATCAGGGTTGGAAAGTATGACCTCTGGGTGCTTTTTAAAATGATCGTCCTAAAAGCGTTTTGATGAGGATGTGACAGAGGATGCCTCAGCTCTGTGGCTTTTTGTGTTGTGCTGCATCTCTGCCTGAGTAGCAACTAACCAGCACGGCTCAGCCAGCTCCTGTCACACGCCTGTCGTATACTCAACATCTCCGCAGCTTTGTTATTCCTCCTTGCCTGCAGAAAGGTCGCAGTGCTGTGCTGTAACTGCGGGACATTTCTATCTGTGTGTGTGTGTGTGTGTATCTGTCTTCACTGCAAAAGACGAGGAGAGACCAACTGAAATATTTGACATGACAGCAGTTATTCAGCATCCACAGCTCCTAAACAATAATGGCATATACAGCACAAACAACCCTGGGACGAGGCTGTCATTTTATGCTGATATGGGATTCCTTATTATGATTTCTAACCCTGAGCTTTGTATATTAGAACCTAAACATGAACATAGATTTGCACAAGAATTGTCAGAAATAGTTTTAATAGTAAAGTTATTTTTGGAGAAACCATTTAAAACGGTCCACGATGTTTAAAAACAAACAAGAAATTTAAAATCATCCAAGATGGAAACCGGCATACTTTTTTTTTAGTCATTTTATGCTGATATGGGATTCCTTATTATGATTTCTAACCCTGAGCTTTGTATATTAGAACCTAAACATGAACATAGATTTGCACAAGAATTGTCAGAAATAGTTTTAATAGTAAAGTTATTTTTGGAGAAACCATTTAAAACGGTCCACGATGTTTAAAAATCAAACAAGAAATTTAAAATCATCCAAGATGGAAACCGGCATACTTTTTTTTTTACTTTCGACATTTTAATTATGAGACTCAACTGAATTATTTAAATGTGACATTATGTTTTACAATAGGCCCTGCAGAAGTTTATTTTTCTAGATGAAAACCACTGGATGAATATTGAGATGGTCATAAGACCACAGTGAAAATGAAGACTAAAGAGGTTTCTTTGAATTTAGGGCTAAATTACCAGGATTCAGTTTCCAGGAAGTGGAAGTCACATAAAATTCCACAGACACTGGCCAGAAAAGGTCTTCTCACAAAGCTCATGCAAACAAGGAGAATTATGAGAGAAAAAGATGAACAAACAAACACTAGCCTTTAATGACTGGCAAAGAGGAAGTTATTACTCAAAAACATCAACATGTCTATAGAGTTTATTTATGGTGACCTAGTTCTAATGTGGAAAAAGATTTTGTGGTTGCATGAGACCACAATTGCAGATGATGGGTGTGTTGTGAATGTAACGCTGGCCACATCTCAAAAATAAAAACCTACAGTGAAATATGAGGGGGTAGAATCATGATGTCTGCATTTCTTGAGCAAGGACTGGACATCCTGTTAAAAATAGATGGAAGAATACATGGTGGAAAAACACAGTGAAATACTGCAATATGCATCTGTGTGCTAAAACAGTTTCTGAGAAAGTTCATCTAACATTCATGGTTGTAGCTGAAGAACAAAAGGTAGTTAAATCCCAGATATCCTATTTATCTCATACAGCAATAATAATAGTACACAATAAATAATTAGTGCCTTCAAATACAGAATAGGCTACATTTCAACATCAGATTAGCAATCAACTTTATAAATTCTGATCATATGTAGCTATAAATGGCCCATATTCTCAAATGAGGGAGTTAGGGGAAGAATGTGCCATTTCTCCTGGTCTGCAGGGTAAAATAAAGGTAGACCAAACCCATGTGAGGGGGTCTTGTTTAAGTGAATGCATGCAATGAGCATGTTTTGTTGGCATATGTGATTGTATCTGATATATTTGTGTACTATTCATGGCTTTTTCTTACGCAATCAAATCTCTGCTTTAGTCAAAATACTAATTTTCTTTGCTTCCTGAATATGTTATGTTTTATAAGTTTCAACTAAACTGATATATGCTGACAGACTGTAAACCCCCTGATATCCTTTCTTGTCCCCAGTCTCTGCAGCGTTTTTCTGCTCTGTGCTGCTCCTGGTGGACTAGCTTTTGATGGGAGATGGAAAAACACATCTGTTCCCTCTGATTTTACCTGAGCGGATGAAAACAACATCAGTGCCTCTGATTAGGGATCATATTCTCAGCTCTCTGGTCCTCAAAGGCTCCTTTTACCACAAACCTAACAACAGCCATTTTGATTCAGAAGGCCTGTCTGTTTCATGCTCGACCAGTGAACTCCAGAATCTCACTCCTGTCAAAGTAAATATCCAAAGGGCATCATATACACGCTACAGTATTTCCTCTTGTACTAGCTGAAATAATAACAAAGGTTCTTGGTTTTTATTATCAGACGCCGAGGCTGTCTATATATTTAAGTAATAATTAATGAAGACTGTACTAGCAGTTTATTTATGGCGCCTTCGTAGCGGCGCCTGAGCAGCAGATGGCAGTAGTGTGTAATATATAGATTCATCACTCTAGTTCACTCGACTTGAGCAACATGTCTGCGCCCTGGACACATGTGTAAACAAACATGGAGATGAGAATAACCTTGCACAAGGGTTAACCATTTTTAAATTATCCACTTACGTATATAAAACCTGTTTCAGCAATGACCTTGCGGCTTTGCGAGACGTTTCTACGCAGATCTTTGCGATTTTCAACGATCCGCAAACTGACGACAGCCCCAGAGCACGCGCCACTGTATCTGCGTCTATCAGGTGATTTATAGATTATAGATTATACACAGTCTGTTTATCCTTCTTGTATGTCGTGACGTTATGCTAGATGACAAACTGGTTGTATTTGTCTTATTCGCCACCAGAAATAAGACCAAACTCATAGAAAAACAACATCGTCATGGTAGCTCTTATTTTACCTGTCGTTTATCCTCTGCTTCTTCACAGGTTGCGCCGTTTTTGGTCCACAGACAGTAAGAAAATGCCTCTTTCATTGCACTCCGGCCAGTTTGGTGTCTTCGAGTGCTTTTTTGGACAGACTGCAGAAGGGGAGAGCGGTGGTGTCCGATGAGGGTCTCTGTCATCATCAGCCTGTCTCTGTTCCATCAGACAGCGGTAAGAATATAATCACCAGCCCCTCTCCAGCCTTCAAGACTGCTGTTTTACAGACAACATGTCGAAAACAGTTATTTGTTATTATCTCCCTGGATATTTATGATATTATATTAAAATAAATTTATGATATATATCGTTAAACCAATTTTGTCTGTGTTTATGTATGTGTTCTGCTCTCAGGTCATCAATTTTCCTTATTGTTAAAGAATCCTGATCAACCTGAAAATGCCAAATCTCTTAAAGTGGCTATAGTGGGTGCGCCTAATGCAGGGAAATCAACATTGACCAATCAACTGCTGGGTCGAAAGGTGATATTATACTAATGTTTGGAATAAAAATTAAGGTGAAATGTGTTTTTTCTCACCCAGAAATGTTATTTCTGCTATTTACTCAGCCTGTAAATAATACAGATAAAACATAGTCATGCATAATTAGGAGTAATGACAGAATTACATTTTTTGTGTGACCGATCCCTGTAAGAACTTGTGTCTGTAACCTTAAATGTTAATTCACAATTTTTATATAGTTGTTTGCTGTTTCTGAGAAAGTGCACACAACAAGATCACGTGCTGTTGGTGTCCTGACAGAGGATGACACACAAATCGTAAGTACCTCTTCTACCCCCATGTCTAGTCTGTTTAGGGAATGTTCCATGTTTGCATGGCATTTTTTCTCCTATTTATTTTTTCTATCAGATACTGTTGGATACCCCTGGTCTCACCACACCAATAAAGGCTAAAAGGTGACTATGTAATACAGCAGTTTCTTACAACATTAGGTGGCAACTGTAAGTTAACCATTTGTTGGTTGATTTCCCAGAAAAGTGTAGATACTGTGCTCTGCAATCTTGCTCTGATTGTTTGAACATCTCAACCAACCAGAAACAACAACATTTGTTTAACTAATGCCATGATTGTGGTAAAAAATTCTCATACTCATAAACTAAACTTGATTTTGTTATATTTGTTTAACAGACATCACCTGGAGGAATCGCTGCTGGTGGATCCTTTTGAGTCAATAAAGGAAGCTGATCTAGGTAAATAAAAAAATCTTTGTTTTAGTTGTTCTTCTCTTATTTATTTCTTAATCTGTTCAAAAACAAAGACACAGCCAGCATCCAATAGAATCGCCATTGGCTTCGTGTGTGTTTATAATTAGAACTAACCATGAAAATGTACAAAAGGTCTATATCAACTTAGTTAGGAGAGCTCTTGGACAAACGAGAGCCTTGGAGTCAAAGAGGCTGAGAACCACTGTATTATGACTCTGTATTTTGTGCTGAATCTTCAATTTTTTTCCCATTTCTGCTATATATTTGCAGTGATGGTGCTAGTCGATATGTCTGATAAATGGACCCGCAATAAGCTGGACTATGAAGTGCTGAAGTGTCTGGCCCTGAATCCAGATGTCCCTGCCATCCTTGTCCTTAATAAGGTATTAGCATTGTCATTTTGTATTGATCTGTCCTAGTCTGACCATAGGATTAGTTTGTGGAGGAAATTACCATCTCTTTTTCTCTGCATATCCCATCTCTCATCTTGCAAAGAGGGGGGAGGGGGCTGTTTTGCTGCAACTGTTAACATCGAAATGAATATCACTATTAAACTCAGTGAATGATTAATAGCTGGTACACTTAGAAGATCTAAAGCAAAAAATCAACTCTTAACACACAGGTAGATCTACTGAAGAACAAAACACTTTTGCTAGACATCACGGCACAGCTGACAGAAGGGGTGGTTAATGGAAAGAAGATCAGGATCCGCGGCGCAGAGAAACCACTTGAGAAATTAGCAGCCAAACGCCACAGCAGACATGCTGAAGAACCACAGTCTGAGAGCATGAAGGACGGGCTGTCTCAGGAGGGTCAGGACAAAGACAGGCTGAAGGCCCTGAAGAGCCGCAGGGGGTGGCTTCTTTTTAAGGATGTATTTATGTTAAGTTCTATTGACAGAGAAGATGTGGAAACATTAAAGGTTAGAGACTGCATTGGAGATTTTAAGAAAGAGACATTTGTATTAAAGCAAACTTGATGTTGGAATCTCCAGCATTGTGCTACTCATCCTTAATTTGTCTGTGTTTGAACAATAGAAATACCTGTTTGATGGTGCCAAGCCTGGCCAGTGGCAGTACCACAGTGAAGTACTGACTGATCAGGGTCCTGAGGAGATGTGCACCAACACTATCAGAGAGAAACTTCTACAGCATCTCCCGAAGGAGGTGCCGTATGGTATGACACAGGTGGGTCATGATTTGTGCACACTAAAAAGGTGTTGAAATATGCTACCATTTGGGGTCAATAGAATTTTTTTTTTAAAAGAAATTAAATTATTCAGCAAGGATGCATTAAAATGATCAAAAGGGACAGTAAAGACCTTCACGTTGGTCAGGCTGTTATCTGTGGTGCAGTCTTGCTGTTTAACTGAATATCTTGCGTAATAACATTACACTGACCTGAAATCACTCAACTGTAAGCAGAGTGGGCTGCACAGTTGGGGTGGTGGCTGGTTGCCAGGGTGGAGCCGGGCCTCCTCAACTGTGGCTGTACACGACACTAACTGCAGCTTATTGAATTATTAACTCTTTGTAGCTATGTCTGTAATAATGCAGTTAATAAATATGATCAATAATTAATTTTCATCAGTTGAGTAAATTATTGCATCAATTTTAGTTTAGACTGTCTATGGTGAAAAAGTTATGGTCACTTTATCTACAGACTGCACATACGGAGCTGAAAGAATCAACTCACTTATTCGCTGCAGACATTTTATTGTGTAAATCTCAATTGTTTGTTTTATTATAATACCCAACCATTAAAAAGTTTGGTGTCAATTTTTTTTTTATGTTTTTGAAAGAAGTCATTTATGCTCACCAAGGATGCATTAATCTGACACAAAAAATACAGTAAACTGTGAAATATTAATTCTAAAAAGTCTTCTATTTTATTATTTATTTATTATTTCAAAAATGTAATTTAGGCCTATTTCTGTGATGACAAAGCTGAATTTTCAGCAGCCATTACTCCAGTCTTAAGTGTCACATGATCCTTCAGAAATCATTCTAATATGCTGATTTGGTCTCAAGAAACATTTCTTATTACTAAATGTTGAAATCTGTTGTGCTGCCTAATATTTTTGAGGAAACAGTGATACATTTTTATCAGGATACTTTAAAAGTACTGCTACTTTTTTAATTTTGTTAAAAAAGTAAATTTACACTGGCCCCAACCTCTGAACAGTTATGTGTATATCTCTCTCTCTTTTCCTGTCTAGAGGTCAAGACTTATGAAACGCCTTCACTTTGGAAATCCACTGAACATTCACATCTACTATTTTGTAACATTTTCTGTGATCTAGAACATTGTCAGCCTATTTTTAAAGAACTAAAATTATATTTGACTTGTCAATGTTTCAAATGTTCCAAAGCAATTTCCAGAAACTGTAGTTTTCCAGATCTGTTGCATCATTATCAATTCAGCGTGGTCTAAATTGTTAGATTAATTTATGTTTCCAAAAGGTTTTCCTGTAGAAACTCTTCCCAACTCTTCAGATGATCACACCTGTGGAAGATCCCTCACATGGGACTTTTCATCTAAAAGGAAGAGCAGCTGCCATCCTGTAGTTCATAGTCACCGGCTGACACACTCACCTTTAGATCTGTGTCTTCAGTACTCCTGCAGGAAGTGTTGAAAAGCAATTTAATTGGCTTCATCTGTCACCTTTACCCGTCTTCTCACTTTTGTTTTCACAAGTCTGTCGTCTCCATGCCGTTAAGCGATCGTAAACATTGCTCCCTTGCTCATGAGTTTTAATGCACGCTGCTCATTTGCATATGATGACACAAAGGCTGTTCCATCCTTATCATGTCTTTGCCCTTCAGTCTGCTGACCAATCAGAATGGTTCCCCATATCAGACCCTGAACAGTTACTTAGCATCGGGTCTCGCTCTCACGCGAGTGTGTGAGTCTACACCCAAACTCTCCCACCCTTGGAATAAACATGAAATTTTACCAAAAAAAGTTGGTTGAAAGATCCAAAGACATGTTTTATGCATATCATATTAGTTTCTTCAGCTTTTATCTATAGCCAAAAGTGCATATTACAATAAGATTCCAAATTACACATAATAAAACCTGCATAAGTAGTTAATAATACCACAGGAGAAAAGTGCATCATGAGGCTTTATGAGGGGTTTGCAAAAACGTATTGCTAGAGGACAACTTTTTATTCAATTTCTATACAATTTAAATCGCTCAAATGGATTTCATGACATTATGTTGCAAATGCATAAACAGATGCCAAATTCAGGGATTATGGTGGCCAGTTGTTGATTGACTACCGATGAAATCACCTCTGGGTGTCTGTTCTCATACCCATGTGTGAGTTGTGACAAATTAACTTGATTCTACATCTGTAGTTGTCCTCAGCATCTGGATGTTAAAGGTCTATTGGCTAACATGGGAGTAGCCCCCCGCGGTTACTCAGGAGACAGACTCCCGGTTAGGGTGGGGTTGGGGGGTGTTTGTGACTGCTTAGGCCATGTTAGCAGATAAAAACAAGATTGTGGCCTATCTGAGTTGCACCAGCATGTAGCAAGCCTCTGACATCTTATCTGCTACCCAAATAAATGGACATTTCTGTTCATTTGTGATGATTTCGCAGAAAAGAGATCGCTGTGGCCAGACATGAAGGGAACTGGAAACTGCCCTTTAGAGCTCTTATGAAACACAAGTAGTCACCTGATCTAACTGATTTGGGATCATCTAAACTTAATGGTTGTTGAGTGCTGGCATAAAGTGAAGTGACATGTGGCCAAGTATGGTGTCCCCCCCCCCCCCCCCCCCAATTTATATTGATTTAAAGAGACAAATATGTGCACATTTCATTTTCTTGTATTTAAATTTCTATGAAAAATGCTACTGGGCAGTCTTGGGAAGGTTACTTTGGAAATGTAATAGGTTACAGATTACAAGTTATCCTATTTAAAATGTAATAAGTAGTGTAACTATTTCAATTACTTTAATAAAGTAATGTTTCTGATTACATTTATTTACTTTTTGATTACTTTTCTAAATTTCTAATGAATGTTTTCAACTGTTAATCATTTTGAAACGTTTAAAGCAGGCCGGGTTAACCTTACAGTACTCATCGCTGATTACTGTCAGACTTTCAAAATCCTTCTTAACCTGAATTAAGATGATAATAATTTAATTATAAAGCGCAACCACCACAAAATCAAGACTTTAGCACCTCTATTTACTTTGAGATCTACAGTTACTGAAATGTAACTGTAAACTGTAACAGATTACAGTTACATTTATTTTCTAATTTAATTACGTAATTCCATTACTTGTAACTAGTTACTCCTCAACCCTGCTGTTGGGACAGTGAAACATGAATTTATTTTACTTTTATTTATTTATTTTCAAAATTAGTTGGAGTTCAAACAGTAATTGGTGGACCCAATGTTGAAGATGTGCTAATTCTTTCTCAGGAAAATAACTGCTATTTCAGGGAGGGAAAGAATATGAACACGACTGATGAATTTGATGTTGGCTACTTTCATGTTGAACATTACTGCCTTACTTTAAATAGTTTAGACTGAGAGGTTGTCAGATTAAAATACGTTTTAGATTAAATGTGCGGTTAAATTTAATCATACGGTTAAAATTACTGGATCAATTTCTGTGAACAGTGATAAATGTGATCCAGTCATTTTGATAGTTATTCACATGATTGGGAATTTCACATGAAGGCAAAAGACTTCCCTATGCAGGGGTTCAAGCTGATCACATGGATTGGCTGCATTGGTCAACAGAAAGCTACTTCATTTTACTTTTGTGTCATACATCAATGGACCTTTTTTGCTAACAAAATTTCACTGTCTGAAGACCTTGATTGCTTGAGAAACTTAGAGGTGTTTGCTAAGATGATTAGAAGTGTTTAACCTCTTAAACATATTCAAAACCAGTATAAAACTACACTTACTGCTGTCCAGGATTATTCTTGGCCTAACTCAGAGGACGTTTTGATAGCGAAAGCCCTTAGCAAATGACATGAAACCAGATTTAATGCACAGTTTTAATATTTAAGATTAGAAATTATCTGCTGAACTTTGACAGTTTGGCCAAGAGCCAATAAATAGTGGCAAAGACTTCCTGCAGTAATGAGGGGACAAACTGCTGGGTTGATTAACACCTATATGTGTGTGTGTGTGTGTGTGTGTCTGTAAGGATTTGGAGGAAGTGTTAGGGAACCCTTGGCCTCTAAAGTCAGATGCACCCCCCTTTCCCCCAGATCCAGAGATTGTTGTTTCTACACACCTTTGTGGGCAAGCTGGAGCACAAACTAGGAACTGGGAGAGACAAAGAGGCAGATCAAAGACGAGACTGATGTTTTGACAGAAGTGCACATACACACCTCGGTCCTCTTTGAAGTTATGGAAAGGTAGCATCCTAAGGGTAGTCCTAGAAAGTCATTGTCTTACTACAAACCTCTGGACAAGTCACTTTAGTTTGTTGCTCCAGTCTCATGGTCATGTATCTCCCAGAGGAACGGCCTGTGCTGGACTTACCTTACCAAATGAATTATTTGGCTAATAACTATGGATATTATCCACAAGGTAAGACTGTTTTTACATATCTCATATTTTTTAGTTTTAAATTCAATTTCAGGTTTATTTGTTTAAAAAAAAAAATATTTATTGATTACTGTGAGATGTCAAAAGAGAGAGAACCCTCAAACTGACTAAAGGGAGGGTTCTCTAGTAATAAACAAGTGTCATTCTTGAGAGCCAGTGTTGTACATATGAAAATCTGAAATTATTCTGTTATCGATTATTAGACTGTAAGGAACCCATTTTCCACACTCAACATGGCCTCAATAGCAGGATGAACAGTCCTGAAGCTGAACTGACCTCACTGCCAGTGCATGTATCCCTGCAAGATCGAGAGCTTTGGGACAAATTCAGCAGTATTGGCACAGAGATGCTGATTACTAAATCTGGAAGGTATGCACCTACAGTGGTTTAAAATGACTAAAAGTCTTGTTTATAATACGTGATGCTATAACAAACATATAATTGAATTGTGTTGGAATTCACCCTTATTATAGTGCAAGAAATCTTTAAGTGCATTCAGTGTACTGTTCATTTAGCTGAATAGTTCATAATCTTGAAAGTGTTACAAATCAGAAAGCACATTATGGAAGGCATTGTTTAATATGTGATGACCAATTGTTATGATGTGTTTCCGTTGTACATTTATTTCAGGCGGATGTTTCCCAGCTGCAAAGTAACAGTGACAGGACTAAATCCAAAAGTCAAGTATGTGGTGATAATGGACATGGTGCCTTTTGATAACCACAAGTACAAGGTACCTCCCCTCCACCCCTCCCTTATAGCACATACACACTTACTCACTTCATCCCCCTCCAACTTCCCTCACAAACACACACGTACACTAGCATTCAAAAGTTTGGGGTCAGTACAATTAAAAAAAAAAAGTATACTTGTATTCAGTTGATCAATAATGACAGCAAATTATTATTTTTTATTTTACAAAAGATTTTGATTTCAAATAAATGTTGTTCTTTTGAACTTTCATCAACGAAACCTGAAACTGCATGACGGTTTTTGCGAAAATAGTAAAAAAAAAAAAAAAAAGGTTTTTGATGACAATAATGTCATGTCATGGAACACTAAAGACTGTAGTAATGATATTTATAAATACTAATTTTAAATTATAATAATATTTTACAATATTACTGTTTTTACAGTTTTTTTTTTATTTATTCTGGTCAAATAATGCAAATAATGCATCCTTGGTAAGACTTAATAAGAAATGTCTTTTAAAAACATTAAAAAAATCTTTCCCAACCCGTTTTGAACCGTGTACTACAACAGTAGTTTACTATTTAACTAGTTTTCCTCAGCTTATACATTATAATATGACACTCTCCCTGTTTTATTCCTTAAAGGGATAGTTCAAATCTATATCTGTAAGTTCATTTTTTTTCTGTTGAGCACAAAAGAGATTTAGAAGAATAAGGGTAACCAAACAGTTGTTGGTCCCCATTGACTTTCATAGTATGGACATTTTATTTTCAAAATATATTTAAAATATAAATAAACGTATAAAGGGTTGAACAGAATTTTCATTTTTGGGTGAACTATCCCTTTTATATCAATATTTTTTAACTGATACACGTCATACTTTCAGCTCCAGATGGGTATAGGGATGTTATAAAGCTGCAAACCTCATAGATGTGTGAATATTTTTGGAACTTAAGAACAATAAAACTAAATACCTAAAAATGAATCCGCTTAAATGAGTAGTGATTAATTGTTGTAGTCTTCATGACTATTCATATGCTCTTATATTGTTACAGTGGAATAAGGACCGTTGGGAAGTGAATGGTTCAACTGATCCACACCTGCCCAACCGGTTCTTCATCCATCCAGACTCTCCTGCACCTGGAGAGAAATGGATGCAGTATCCAATCTCCTTTCACAAGCTCAAACTGACCAACAACACCCTCAACTCTAATGGCCTGGTAAGATTTTAGAAATGGGGAAAGTGTATCGGTTGAAAGATTTCTAAGAGATGTTTTCTGTGTTGGGATCACAATTTTTTATTTTATTTAATTACATTTTTTACCGTTGATACATCTATTTCTCTCTATGTTCATTAGGTGGTTCTCCACTCCATGCATAAATACCAGCCCCGTCTACACATTGTCCAATCTCCAGACCCCTGTAACCCTCACAACTCTGGCGGTTACCTGCGCTTCACCTTCCCTGAAGCTGCTTTTAAAGCTGTCACAGCCTACCAGAACCAAGAGGTGAGGACAGACATTTCACATGAGATGAATAACTGTATAGAAATATAGGACTTTCAAAGCTGGCCTTCAAAGATACTTTTCATTAGAGTTGCACTGCCATCTAGTGGGTCAAATTCATGAGGATAAAAAGGTCAATTAAAATGTCTATAATAGTAGAATCTAGTACCCAGTATACTGTAGTGTGCAAAATATGCAAAATCCAGTATTCTCACAAAATATCAGCAAAACATTTAAGTAAAAGTTGATGTTTGATTTTTCTCTCTTGATTTATTATGTTTTATTAAACTATTCTGCATGATTTATGCTCTTTGCCTGGCATGTCTGTGTTTTTTGTCAATGGGACTGTTTGTTTCTCTTCCTCAACACAGATCACAAAACTCAAGATTGACAACAACCCCTTTGCTAAAGGCTTTCGTGACAATGGGCTGAACAGGAAAAGGTGAGAGATGCTTCATTAGAAATAATTAATTAGCTCAGTTCAGTTAGAGAGAATTATTAGGTCACCACAAAAAGAAGTGATTTTCATAATTTTCTTTCTTTAATTCAGAAAATGTCATGTACAAATATCTCCTTTACAGCACATGACACCAGGGCTGATTTTTTTTATTTTTAGTGAATAATTATAATTTTTTTCAACCATGTAGTAGGTAAAGGAGCAAGATTTTCATCATTCCTAATGGCAAATCAAACTGTATGTAATAGAATTTACATAATGTTTCCTTTCCTGACTGTTGAACCTCCAACTCTAATAATTCATTCTGATATTTTCAGTTAATATAACCATTATAATTTCGCCGCCTTAGGTTTAGAGAAAAAGAGAGCCAAGAGACCCAGGATTCCGTTGGACAGGCCAAACCAGATTTGACATCAAATGACCATGGTATGATTTCCCAAGAGAATAACAATAATAATATTCAATGTAGCTTCACATTATACAGGTGCATCTCAATAAATTAGAATGTCGTGGAAAAGTTCATTTATTTAAGTAATTCAACTAAAATTGTGAAACTCGAGTATTAAATAAATTCAATGCACACAGACTGAAGTAGTTTAAGTCTTTGGTTCTTTTAATTGTGATGATTTTGGCTCACATTGAACAAAAACCCACCAATTCACTATCTCAACAAATTAGAATACTTCATAAGACCAATAAAAAAACATTTTTAGTGAATTGTTGACCTTCTGGAAAGTATGTTCATTAACTGTACATATACTCATTACTTGGTAGGGGCTCCTTTTGCATGAATTACTGCGACCATGGTCATTTAACCAACTTTTGGTACCTTTGGCAGTGTGGGCAGGTGCCAAGTCCTGCTGGAAAATGAAATCAGCATCTCCATAAACCTTGTTAGCAGAAGGAAGCATGAAGTGCTCTAAAATTTCCTGGGGGATGGCTGCGTTAACTGTGGACTTCAGAAAAGTCCTACTTCAGTCTGTGTGCATTTAATTTATTTAATACACGAGTTTCACAATTTGAGTTGAATTACTGAAATAAATGAACTTTTCCACGACATTCTAATTTATTGAGATGCACCTGTATGCACCAGTGTCGCTTCTTGTTTCTGGTGCTATGACCTGGTGCCCAGCAGAGGGCAGCAGAAGGGGACTTTTAACTTCAATCATAAGGGTCACCTTTATGTGCCCTATATTTTATTTTCCTCTTAATAAGCTTTTTTTCTTTTTCTAAATCGTGCATTTCTTCTTCTGTCCACAAACAGTAGGACAGCCACAGAAGGATGAGGAAGTGGATGTGACCGTGTCCAGCTCTGTTGACTGCAGAAGAACACTGAATTCTTCAGAAGTGGCTTCCTCGGTCACCCCCAACCCTTTCATATCAGCCTTCATAAACCCCAGCACTGCTGGAGGACCTTCACCCCATCAGACACACACCATTCTCAGCCTCAGTAACAGACACCTGAACAGGTGAGTCTGGCTCTGATTCTGCCTGGGAATTTTTGTGATGCAGTGAGTATCATATTATAATCAAACCATACTATTATGCCACAGTTCTGCTGGAAAATATTAATTCTTGCTCTAGACTGAAGTATTACAATTAATCTTAGAAATTCAGGGATGCAAACTTATCAGGGGTGACAAAGATAGCCTAGTGAAAATTAAATTTACTAAAATTTATTTGGAATTAGTGCTGTCAAATGATTAATCGCGATTAATGGCATCCAAAATAAAAGTTTTTGTTTACATTATATATGTATGTGTACTGTGTATATTTATTATGTATATATAAATACACACACATACAGTATATATTTTATGTATTCATATTCTTATATTTATATTATATATAAATATATTTAATATATAAACATAATATATTTTTCTTAAATATATACATGCATGTGTTTGTATTTATATATACATAATATATGTGTGTATACACAGTATACACACATATATTATGTAAACAAAAACTTTTATTTTGGATGCGATTAATCATTTGACCACTATTTGAAATACATTTATTTCATGCTAAGTATACATTTACATATTTATGTACTTAATAAAAATATCCTGCAATTGTACTTTTGGTATACTAAACTGGTATACTTTAAGTCTGCTAAATTGGAACAACTAATTTTGTGCAGAAGTAGTGTTGAAGTCCAACTAAAGAAATACTGAAGGATATTTGAATGTGCTAAAGTGGAACTGTTGTAAGTACACTTCAGGTAAACTTTAAATGATGATTTAAATCTTGATTTTAAAGACCAATATTATACAAAGATCATGCAATCCTCATCAGTAGTGATATTAAAACACATTTTAGGCTTAATATTAAGAAATGTGCATTGCGCACAAGTGATACGCAGAATAAAGTTTAATTATAATTTTTATATCGATGATTTGTCATGAGCGATATGTCAGTAAATATGTTAATAGATTTGAACTATACTTACTATGAAATAAATGTTTTTTTTTTTTTATATATATATATATTACTTTTTTTCTAGGGTAAGAGCCCTCTATGGAAGAAATTTTTATCAAAATTGATTTTTATTCAAATGGGGATTTACTGTCACTTTAGACACTATGAAGAATATTTAAAATATTACTGTAGTAATACTACTATTGTACTGTAAAATTAAAAATAAATAAATAATAAAAATAATTTCATTTTACAGAACATGAATACAATTAAAAGTAATTAAATTTCTTTGCTTTCAAACGTTAAGCTACAAAGCGTTTATTTTGGCCTAAAACCTAGTTTGAATGCTGCAATTTTTGCTGAATGGTGACACATTTGGATTTCTGGAGATATTTTTTCTCAGTTTATTACTTTTTAGACAAAGCTTAAGTTTTGTTTTTGATAACTAAACAAGGCATTGTCCTCCAAAATACTATTACTACTGATTATTATTATTATTACAAAATATTCCTTTTGAACAAAATTCCAAAAAAAAGGAACAAATTAATATATGAAAGAAATGTATTACTGTAGTAATAATACTATTGTACTGTCAAATAATGTATTTAATAATTTTCTTTTACAGAACAAGAGTAAAATTACAAGTAAAACTCTTAATTTCTTTGTTTTCAAATGTTAAACCATAGAATTTCTTTGATTTGTAACTGCACTGAAAAGTGACACGTTTGTATCCATCAAGATCACTTTCTAGACAACAGCGAAATACAGATTTGAGAGTTTTGTCTTCCAAAATAATGCTGTGAATTTTTTTCCAAGTCCCAGAGAAGCCAGACCCTCCAGCCTCCATAGTCTGTGTGCAGCTTTGCCTGTGGCCCAGAGCTTCTGTGTCCAGTCCTCCACAGGAGACACCAACCTCAGCAGCCCTCTAAACCCTCAGCAGCACCATCACCACTGCAGCCCAGCCTCTCAAACCCCAGGCAGATCCATCATCCAGCTCCAGCCTTATTTTCAGACCCCTCCACATCCCTCACGACAATGTCCTGACATGGAGCTGCCCCTCCCTCTGCCTCCCAAACTGAGCCGGATGCAACTCCCTGAAAGTGCTCTGAGGAACCTGGAGATGACCTCAGGCTCTGACTATGCTAATCTGAGGCCCCTCACTGACATCCTCAACAGGATCCATTTTCGAGCTTTAGCCTCAGGACCATCGGGGAAGGTCCTGCAAAATCCCCCCCAACCTGAGCAGTACCTCCGTGGCTCAGACCGAGAGCTGCGTCCGCAGATTTATCCAGCGGTGCAGGAATACATCGATCAGCAGTTCACATTAAACAGCATGCTGAGCAGCCAGACTGAACACAGATCACAGATGGACTATGTCAGTGCCAGACCACTAACTGAGTATTACTGTGAACAGCAGCCTGGGAAATGAAGTTTTTCAGTCATCATTGAATTATGCCTCATTTTGTTGCTTATTTCCTGCACTGCTCTACATTCGTAGTTTACAAAGCAGATTCAAGTTGAACACTGAGGGCTTCCCAACAAAAGAATGTAAATATTTTCAGTGGGATATGACGTTAGTTGTCACCAGTGTTGGGGGGTAACGCATTACAAGTAACGCGAGTTACGTAATCAGATTACTTTTTTCAAGTAACTAGTAAAGATAAGTAACGCAAGTTACTTTTTTTCAATTTATTGATTGACAGCTCTCCTGTCCCCATGCTGAGAGAAATCAGAAGATGTTACTGTAGTTCTAAAATAAATATGAATATGCATTAATTCATCTCACCCACACAACAATTGAATAAAATCCTCAAAATGAATAAAAATAATGCAACTCAGAATATGACGCAAACCTGCAATAATTAAATGTTAAACAACACAAATATCCTTTATGTATTTAATCCCATTCTATTAAGCAATGTCTTTGCTTCTGACCTTCGATGACCCGTACTACCCGTATTTCAACCGTACTAATAAGCACAAATGACTCTAGACAAACATCTGTGTCTTTTTTTATTGCTGAAGTGTGTTGAAATGTCTTCTTCTGCGTTCTACTGTACGGACGTAACTTTACTCTCCCTTCAGCCTGAGGCTTATTCATTTCACTTTTGGTGTGAAAAGGCTTGTATATTTGCCAAAAATATAACTTTTTCATTTTAAAAACAAACAAGCAAGCCCTGCCCAGATTTAAAAAGTAACGCAAAAGTAACGTAACGCATTACTTTCCATAAAAAGTAACTAAGTAATGTAATTAGTTACTTTTTTATGGAGTAATGCAATATTGTAATGCATTACTTTTAAAAGTAACTTTCCCCAACACTGGTTGTCACTAATGTCCATATTTATGTTTAGTCGGTTACTGTCTGTCTGAACTTTAAACTGCTAAACGTCTTAAAGTCAACATGAAACCATTCAGAGTTGTAATTGACTTCAAGTAATTCTGCAGACCACACTTTTGCTGTTTCTATTCTAATTTTTGATCCTGTGTGGGTTTCATTTTTTACATTAAACCTAAATACAGAGTTCTGGGTTAAGTTTGCATTTTTTTAAAAAGTCATCACAACTATAACTTTTCTTAGCAATGCAAAGTTGCCTTTACAGACAGCATAGACTCTACTGACACTGCTGTGCATCTTTCAGTCTAGTGTAAAACAGCAAATATTGGACACGCAAAAAAGTCAAATCAAGATTAATTTATTGACTGTGATCAGAAACAGATTTCTTATTAGATACATATATTGTATATTCATTCTACAACCAGTTATAGGCATTAACTATATGCACTGCTATATAACATTCTCAGTATGTGACTCTTGAACAAACACACTGAGCTCAGAAACAAGAACATAGAAAAGTATCTCATAAACAATGGCTACATTTTTACAGCAGTTCCCTTTTTCCCAGCTGAAACAGATATTGATGTAAAATAACAAACACACTTCATTTTGAAGAATGAAAATTGAACATCAATTTTAATTAACTTGTTTCTGACAAACAGAACATTGTTTCACAAATACTTTTGCCAAAGTGTACTGTAAAAAAACAAAACAAAAAAAAAAGTTTTATTTGGCAGATTACCAATGAGCAAAAAACCCAATCATTTATGATTCATCAGCAATGTAAAATAAATGCGGATATACTGTTTGACCTACTGATGTTTGGCAAATTGATTTGTATTTTCATAACACAATAGCAAGCTGAAAATCAGAAGACAACAAAACACTAAAATATAGTCACTCTCAATGGGGAAAAAACAGTTGAAGCAGAGTTAATTCACATATACCTGACAGAGCTCTCACATGATCTGGATGATGATAATTAGCACTTTAGGAACAGAATACATGTGACATTATTTAAAATATTGCGGTTAAAACAAAAAAAAGAGGAAGAAGACCTGTTATAATTAAGCTGCATCACTGAATTAAAAAATAACTAAAATAAGTTATTCAATATGGGGAAAACTCTGTAAGGCACAGAGTATCTTCAAGGAAACTATGAACACGGTAGATGTTCAACTTAAAAATGCACAGTATCACTCTCCAAACTTGTAGATTTAACAGTAACTGGGTTCTGTACTGTCAGTTTGGCTGCAGTCATAAAATCTTACTTGCAGCCAACAGAAGAGGACCAAAGCTTTATTGTCTGCATAAACATTGGGTGAGGTAAATTATATCGGAGGTTTTCTGCAATGAAAAAATAAAGATACTTTTCAAAATCCTGCTAAATTCAGCGTGTTTTGGCTTTTGCTTGGTGTCTCGGTAAAAATGCATTTGGAGCACTACTTATTATCCAAAAATAGGCAAAACATTCTCAAAGAATATACATACAGATATGATTATGAATCACGTGGCGTAGTTTTATATGAACGAATGCACAGTGAACGCGTGGTTTGACCTACAACCCTAAAAGCAAAGTTAAAAAAAAAAACATTTGATTGTTTTCATCCTACTTTAAAAATGACTACAATGCTTCCTGTTTGAACTATACAAAAAGATGTTTAACAAATGAACCTATCTAAACGTATTGGTTAGATCAACTAAAAGTCAGTTCTACTCACTACTGCGTCACTATTTGACCTGAACAGAAATGTCTTCACAATGATGAATGATTTCAAAGGCCCAGTTGATCAATCCAATAAACATGCTGTAACAAACCTAATGGCTCTTCTACACTATACTTCTATATATCTTCATACATTGCATAAACGTAACGTGAATACAACCTTAGCTACCAATTCAAATGGAAATACTTCCTTGTCTTCTAAATCACTACATACACACACACATCTGCAGCTGCCCACTAGTGAATTTTATGATACAGTTCTGCAATTAACAGAATAACTATAATTGAGGTATGTTGTTTCAACAAAAGAGGCAAAAAAAAACAGACAATAAAGATATGTGACGAAAACGAGCACATACAGAGATTCTGGTCCTGCAGAGGTAAGGCACCAGGGGTCTAAAAAATAACACATCTGCAGCTGCCCACTAGTGAATTTTATGATACAGTTCTGCAATTAACAGAATAACTATAATTGAGGTATGTTGTTTCAACAAAAGAGGCAAAAAAAAACAGACAATAAAGATATAAGTGACGAAAACGAGCACATACAGAGATTCTGGTCCTGCAGAGGTAAGGCACCAGGGGTCTAAAAAATCAATTCCTCGTTTCTGTAAAAAAAAAACAGCTTGTGTTTCTTTTCAAGGCAATCAATGTGGGAGTGTCAGAAAGGCAGCAGAGTCAAAGGGGCGTGTTCAAGCTTGAGGATTGGTCATTTTCTGAAGCAAAGGGATCTGTAGAGAAACAACACATTTATTTACATGTTTATACTGACAAATCATAATATATGTTACTTGATCCTGGTGGTTATTCATTCCCTAATCCAGTTCTACCTCTGAAAAAAATATATAACGATAATAATGATATATAACATGCTAAACAGCACTATGCTTATTATTTTTTATAATTATGTATGAGGTTTTTTATGACCATATAAAATGAGAGCTTACACTAACATTTTAAAGTTTGCGATCAGTAAAAATTAATACTTTTATTCTGTGTGTGGACACATTAAATTAGGATTAATAGACACTAAAGACTGGAATAATGACTGCTGAACATTCAGCTTTGTCATCACAGGAATAAATTAAAATTTTAAATATATTACAATAGAAAATAGATATGTTTGTAATAGTATATTTCCAGGGATTGAAATTAACTTTTTCACTCACCAGCCAATTTGGCTACTACATTTTTTAAGTTACCGGCCATTCATAACTTCTACTAGCCAAAAAAAACAAAAAAAAGGCAGAAATAAACCAACAGTTTGAGGCTGTCTACACTGGACATGACAAAGCGACCGCTGCAAATCATTTTGTGTCAGAACTAGGGGTGTGCAATATTGAAAAAAATAATATCTCAATATTTTCAGGGATTTTATACGATAAAGATAATTAAACAATATTTTGCTGTGTTATTGTGCTGATATCTTAAGGACTACCGTGGACAGCTGACTCCTAAAGTTTTTGATATATTTCATATTCTGTGGTCAGTTCACAACAGTGATAGAAATTAATCTTTTCCAATAAGTTTAAATTGATGCATACCTTTTATGGGCATTTTTACCTTTATAAATCCTTTTTTTTTTACATTTAATCAGGCAATTATAGCAATACTACATTTAGGCTGTTACTAAACAAATGAAATCAGTATCAATAAAATTCATCTTTGCAGAAGTTGAATACGAAGTGGCATTTAGATGTATTTACACATGTTAATGCAGCTTAGAGGGACATGGAATGCTTTAACCTGCAGTTACAAATGCAAAAATAATGTTTTGATATTTTAAACATGAAATGTTGAATAGTGATATTTGAAATTATTAAAAAAAATGAAAAGATACTTTAAATGTGAAATTAAAACCGCCAGTAGGTGGCAGCAAGTCACTGTTAAGTGAGTCATTGCGAATGAACCGAATCATTTAAACGGTTGATTCATTCAGGAACGAAACCCTGTCATGTTGCTCAGAGATGCAAAACAGCGCTGTGTTTGGAATGTTTTCTGTTGGCGAAATAGCGCAAAAACAGTCAATATGGTGTTTAAAACGTAAGTCTCTTGATATTAACTTATTGAACTGTTGTATAAAATCAATATCACATTTGTAACCATGCTGATTTTTAAAGAAAAAACGGCACTCTTCGTGTGATATTAACTATATGAATTGATATAAATATATACATTTTCTAATCCCCTTATCTTGAATTATGTGATCATTCTTAATGCATATTAATATAAATCATGCAGTGAATGAACGCACTCTAAATGCGCACGCGCACTAAGTTAGTCTAACCAGACTTCATCACGTCGCGTATGCGTGCACTCCGTAGGTGTGTTTTGTTTGGTTTTTGCAATTTACTCGATAATGTCATGATGTCTCACGAGTTCGGT